ATTCATTTAGGTTTTTTTCTTCGCTATCGGATGTTATGCATCATTAATAACTTTCCCCTTGCCCTTTTTCCCCCAAATGCTCAGCGCTCGAAAAAACCAGTGAGAGAGCCCTAGGATGGTAATTTTATTAATTTAGGTTGGGATGTTGGGTCTGAATTGGGCTGTCAATGGGTCAGGTCCGACTTGACAGACCCAATGGACTTGAATCAATTGGGCCCTTTTGGTTTTAGGAACTGGTATCGATGGACTAGATGGATTAGTTTCGGATTCTGATATAATGTCCCGATTATTATCAGTTTGGAATTGGCTTTACCCAATTTTGAATCAATTCAGACCCGATTCAAGTTATATACATATAATATATAATATATAAAATTTAATATATATTAAATATATTTATTTATTTATTATAATTGGGTCCATTGGATCATACCTAATTATCCTGAGAATCGATCAATTCATTCTGAATCTAAAAATTACAGACTATCGGATCCAATTTGGTTTCGAGTCTTCAATATTTTGTTTCAGATTGATTCTGGTTCTGGCTGGTCCCAACCTATACCTGACCCATTGTTAGCCCTAGGTCTGAGTTGTTTCTCACTCAGTAAGATGTAAGACGGACGTCATATTTTTCAGATTGACATTAGAAAACGCTAACTTTTGATCATATAAGAGGTGAAAATCAAATGCACTCAAACGTATCAGCATTAAAACTTTTGGAAAAGTACGTTGCAGCTCATTGCAGAATTCTGAATTCTATTACAGACCTACAAAAATTCAAAATATCAAATACCTCCACCTTATACACCAATGCCTGCCCATGAATTGACATCAATTCCGAGTTGGCACCTATCCCAACTGTACGTTGGGCCTAAGAATTCTAACGTTGGGCTGAACCATCATTGGTTGATTGGTATCCTCTTCCCAAGAGAAAATCAGCCCCCCACAACGTCCCACAACACATTCAAGCCATATATTGGGAACGTCTCCCGATGATGATGTTATTATCAGGAAATGTTCACAATACACGGCCGGCACTGAATTGAACTCCCTCTTCCCACTTATGACTTCCATGATTGAGAAAAAAAAAAGAAAAAGAAAAGTTGATCACGATACTTTGATTGACTAGGTAGAATTCAAATTTCCTACTCACTTTCTTTACCCACGCTACCTGCAGTACAATGAAGTCACACATCTCCCGATGTAAAAAAGCCACGTATGACTGCAATTCAAGATGGATAGAATGTGGGTAAAAAGTTGTGAACAGTAAAAACGGATTAAACTAGAAAATTTTGTCTTGAGCAAAACAGAAAACAAAAAGATGGACTTACTCCTAGGGCTCAGCTTGAAAGGAGTGCAAATACAAATATATGCAAGTTCTAAATGGAGCCTAGATAACAAACATTGGTGTACGAGAAGCCCATATTCAAGTTCTATTTTGGCTTATTTATACATGCTCTTAACATTTGATTTGCATTAGCAACCATTTCTGGACTTAATAAGACAAGTTGAAAGTTAGAAACGACAAATTATTACTGTATCTTATATGGTGTTGTGTTTGTAGATAGCTGAGTAGCTCGATATTCAAAATATTAAATAGTCTATGGTTAAATTAATGATAATGTTAGTCCAGTTTGTGCATCTATTATATAGGCTAGCCCATCCCCTCCCTTAACCTCCAACACTGATGGCAGCAGGATTTGATCCACGGTGTGATACTGTGATGCAATAGACGTATATCATACTGGAGCCATTAATTTCATATTTTTTCTGCATTGTGGATCTGCCCTGACAAATAATCAGTCCGGATCAGATAGGCATAACATGGTATGAAGTTTTTGCTCATAAGGAATCCCATCACCTATAAAGTCAGGAGTTCGGTAATGGGTATAAGGATGAGAAAGTGTGTGTATGTATGTAGTGGTGAGTGGTGAGTGGTGAGTGGTGTAGTGTGTGATTAATTATTTAATTACATACCGGAACAGGGAGACCTGAACGAGAGTACTGAGCCACCACATATGTGCTGGTTCAACCACGTACTTCCTTAGAAGCTCAGCCCAACCGTATCCTAATACCTGCAAATCGCAATGGCCATTAGCTTACGATGAAACATCCCACACATTCGTACACACGTGTAATACGTAAGACACTTTGTTCACCAATCACCGTGCAAAAATAATTATTTGTTAACGACTAACGTTTAGGAATTGATCTCCTTGAAAAGACACACACCCGTCCACTTGTTATTTGTCTCATTCCCCTTGATATCGTATTGAATAACTTGGACATTGATGTGTTTTAAAAACACATTGATATAGAAAACGGTTGATACATTAAAGATATTTATACAAACTCTATAAATACATTAAATTTAAGATCGAATATTATGTATAAATATATAAAAATATATTTTTTATTGGTATATATGAAAAAATATATTAAATTAGCATTATAGATGTCATACAATTTTATTGATAATCAATATTCAAAATTTCAAGACACAAAACATATGTATATTTTAATTATTACACCAATTATTTTCTGTTTTATTATTTTACTTTTTTACATTAACAAAAAAGCCAAGCAAATAATAAATTCTCGTATGTAAATTTAAATATCAATTAGTAATGTATAAAAACACATAATCTCAACTTAAAATACATAAAAATGGAACCATTTACCCAATCAATTGAACCGTTGACTCAAAAACCAGTGGCCAAAATGGTTCCATTTTTGGGTCGTATGAGTCACACACTCAAATGACATAACACGTATGATATTGCTTAGTTGACCTCACACATTCAATTTTTTTCTTGTAATTTTTGTTATCAAAATGGACCGTCCGATCAAACCAGACAATCGAAATGTCAACCTGAAACCGGTGGCCATAACAGTTTAGTAATTTTTGTTGTCAGAATGGGCCTTTCGTTCGAACCGAATGGTCGAACCATCGACCTGAAACCGGAGGCGTATATATATTAAATTCTTATTATATATATTTAATATATATATATATATATTAAAGGGTTGCCATTTGGCGAATGGGGACACCACCCCTATTTAAATCGAACTATGATAGATTATGTGGGATCGGATAGAGGTGAATTCATATTTGATTCAATCATAAAAAATTTAAAAAAATAAAAAACGGTCAAAACCATTCAAACATTTAGATATCTAGTTATTAACAATATTTATAATAACTATTATATATTTATATAATTAGATAGTTATATAAACAATATTTATATAATTAATAGAAAATGGGATTAACAATATTTATAATATTTATAATAACTGTTATATATTTATATAATTAGATAATTATATATCACGAATAGATACCATTTTCTGCACTGAGAGAGCATCTCAATCCTATATATATAAAAGATAAGATAAGATATAAGAATAATATATTCATTTTGAAGCTTTTGAGCCGAATTCAAACTCCAACATTATTTGAGTCGAACCGAGCCATGACATACAGAATAGGCTACAGAAGTCTCGGCTCGGCTCGAGATCTTTAATGCATCCAATCAATTATATAACAGTGGGATTTAGATGCAGGTGTTTGTCATGGTTGTTTGAGTATTAGACTCGTCAACTTCAGTAGGAACATATAACCGTGGAGGTTCTATAGGCTAAATGACGCTAGTGTTGGGTATTGCCATGGAAAACCTCAATCTTACGTCCATAGCAACACTGCGAGTCCGGTAGCTTTGCTTAAAGCTTGCAAACCAGTGAACAGTGAACGCTCAAGCAGCGGTGGAACGTAGGTTTTGCAAGTTTAATCAACAAGCATGACACCGTCATGAAAGGCTTTAAAACATTTGTGGCGGAGAGGCAGAATGGTGGTCAACGTAGGAACGACGCGACAGAAGCAGAGAAGAATAAGAAAAGGGAGAAAAAATCCTGGTTTGCGGCGTACGTTCGGTTCCGACGTTTCCTCCTCTTCCTCAAGACCTCGCCAGCCAGCCGCCCCAATTGTCTAAATATAAGCACACATACCCAGAAATGGATATTTGACAATAAAATCTGGTTCGTTCTGTCGCTACACCTAATGGAACCAAATTCAGACAAAAGCATGTAACAAATTTTTTAAGAAAAAAAACTTGATCGGTTGTGACGGAGTGGCGGGAGACTTGATTTTGATTTGGGAAATATTTAAATTTAGTAAAATATAATTGACCAACAATATTATCCTACGGAGGTGGGTTGGGAACCGGGAATCATCAAGGAAACTGCAGGTCTGCGGTGGAGGAGGCAAACGGCACCACCGTTGGTCCCCCAATCGAGTACGTCGTTTGCTGACATTGCTCTAGTTCTGGTTTTCCTTCCTGTTATATGTATAAAACAGAGTAATGTCCTCCCTGTTGTTTGTTTGAATTACTTCAAAAGGAACGAGAGGAACAGCTAGCGGGTTTGTTTTCTTCTTTCGTTTTTGATGATTTGCGTTTTTTTTTTTTTTGCTGGTTTTGAATTGGGCAAGGATGGATGCATGATTTTCGAGAGTTGTAATGGGGTAAGAACTTTTAGGTTCCAATATTCTTTTGGTCTTGTCTGAGTGATGATGATAATGTGGAAAAATCTGTTGTAATGGATGACAATTTTGGCGCTTGGAGTAATGCATTATAAAAGGTGAAACCTTAATTATTTTTTCTTGGTTTACAGAAGCTGAAGATTGATATCTTGGTCTTTTCTTGGAAAGGGAAACGAGGGACAACTCTCTTTGTTTAACTGATTACAATTCAAATATGGGTTTTTGATTTATAGAGTTGGGTCTTTCTTGATTTGATGGAATTTCTTCAATTTGGGGTCATCTTTCGTTTCTCCTACTGAATTTGATCGGGAGGTATGGGTGATAACATTTTGATATAGTGTTGCAATTATTAAGATTTTTGAAGCCTGGGGTTTAGAATTACTAGGATTTTCTTTTTAAATAATAAGGGAAAAGTGTTGGATGTTAACACTTAACATTGGAAGCGAGATTGCTGGGTATCATGAGTGCATATAAGGAGCTTACCCATGAAGTACAAACTGGAAATTCCGAGCCAGAAACCGATCGCGAGCAGCCTTTAGAAACTACTCTCAAGGGAACCCGTCTCTATCGGACCATTTTTCCTGGCGCTGTGAGGCAGAAAGCTTATAGATTCGATGGGTTGGGGGGTTTCTTTACCAAGGATTGGGATCTCACAGAAGGGAGTGGGAAAGAGTTTTGTTGGTACCATGTTGAACTTCCAAAGGGAAATCAGAAGCTCACATTGTCTGCACAATACCTCATCGACGTTCTTTGTCCTCCTCTCAAACTCCAAGACATCCTCTCACTCGTCAGCAATGGTCCCTTTTGTGGGCATGTTGACGGAGCTCTTTTCTTCAGGGTGTGCTCGCCGGGCCCTGCTTCAAGCAATTTCACCCTCAGAATTGCTGCAAGAATCACTCAGAACTCGGTGATCACCGTCACTGTGGGTCGTGTTCCCAGATTGGGTTTCTCTCAGATGGGTCAATCTCTTCTTTCTCAGATTCCTAGTGTGGAGAATCCCAATACGGTTAAAAGTGACATGGAAGAGAATGGGATTGTGATTAGAGAGCACGTTCTTGAGTTTTTGTTAACCATGAATCACTCTGAGGAGGCTGATAATCCAGTTCCCCGTACTGTCTCGAGACTTGTTGTTCATTTTCTTGACACACATGTGGATTACATTCAAGATATAGTGACCAAGCTCGAGTTGGAGTTGGATTCGGTTGAACATGAGCTCGACAAAGGTAATAGACATCAAATAGCAACCGTAAGCTGTAACATAAATATGTTTTTCTATTTAGTTCATCTTGAATGGTTTCCTTTATTTATTCTCTCTTCTTTGTTTCTAATGAAAACAGGGTTTTATATGCAATTGGAATTCTTAACATTATGATCTTGTTCTTGCTTTGATAGTATGCTTCTATTCTTCTTACTCTCTCCCAGGTTGAGTTTAGTGGGGGGTTTAAGTTGAAATCAGAATTCAGAATGGCGGAAAACCATGCTTTGGCTAGTTTTCTTTTATTTTTCTGAACTTAATATCGCACATGAGAACATGTATTGTGAAGCTAGAAACTAGGAAATAAATATTTAACATGGGAGACATTAGGCTCTGTTTGGTTTGTAGATGGGAAGTGAAAATATAGAATGTTTTGGAATATTCTTCCCTTCCCATGTTTGGTTTGTGAGATATCATTAGATTAGGGTTGAGCCCAATTCGACAGACCAGTGGACCTGAATCGATTGGGTTGGTTTTGGTTCTACCCATATGTAGGATCCATCAGGTCAAACTTGATTGTTCTAATAACCCAGTTCTGGGTCTAAAATTACAGACCCTATAGGGTCTGGTTCGGTTTTGAAACTTTAATATTTGTTGTCGAGTGGGTCCCGATTCTACCTAGACTCGACCCAGATCCGACTTGTTGACACCTACATGAGATGGGAATGGGATGGGAAAAAGGTGGGATTATAGATCCCAATTCTTGGAATGTGGAATCCCACCATTTTGGTGGAAAACAAGTGGGAAACTTGTTTATAATCTATTAATAATTCACATTAAAATATTAAAATTATTAATCATAATATAATATTAATAATAAAATTAAAATATTAATTACTGATAATAATATTAATAATAAAATATAAACTAATAATAAATAATGATTTTATTATTAATCTAATTCATGATTTAAAATGAAAAAAAATAATAAAAATGTTATATAATTAAAAATAGTTAATAATTCAAAGTCAAAATATTAATTAACTCATAGTAAATACTAATAAAATAAAATTTTAAATATATTCTTAATTAATAAATAATTAAATATTTATCTATATTAATTAATTACTAAAATATTAATAATTAATAGTAAATATAAAATATTATTAATTACATAATTAATTAGTTATTAATAGTTATTATTATTGCTTTTTCCACTATTTTCCCTTTTTTGCAACCAAACAATGGAATATGAAAATTTTACATCCATTTTCCCTTCTCATCACATCCCATCCCACCAAAATCTTTCAACAAACTAAATGCAGTCTTATAGTTGAATTTTAAGGTGTAACAGGGTGGTGGTAGTGAAAGAAACCTGGATGTTAATCTCAGAAGGATTTGAACGATGTAAAAGAGAAATAATAGTAAAATGGGACAGTGTGAAATGGATTGTGAATCATTTACCAATAGGAAATATGAGTTAGTGTTTGGAAAACGGAATCATGCGAACAAGAGAAGACTTCATCAAGCATTTTCTTACTGACCTGGTGAGGCTAATTATAGATATTGATGGATATTTTAATGGGAAAGGCACTCAGGGATGTGTTGGCTTGCATAATTTGTTTCTGAAAAATGAATTTCCCCTTATTACTATCTCTTTCAATGAGGTTTACATATTAGGTCCGTTTGATTCATAGTCAGAATCGGAATTGGAATTGAAATCAAAATCCTTTGGAATTAGAATCAGAATGGTCTATTCTCATAGTTTATTTGATGCAAACAGGAATAGGAATGAGAATTAAAATCAATAGGAATGGGATTCCATTCCCAAGGGAGAGGCAGAGAATGGCCATTCCCTCAAATGGGAGAGTGTCATTCCAGCAGGAATGAGAATGGGATTCCCATTCCGTCCAACCAAACAATTGGAACTGGAATAGTCCATTCCAATTCCGATTCCAAACCTCTATTCGTGCAAACCAAACAGGCCCTTATTTTCTATGTATTTATACTGTACATATTTGTATTTATACTTTTTCCAAACTGAGCCTAAGAAAATGGATTGTATAATTTGCTAATCTATGGTGTAATATTGTCTATATAAGCACCATCTTGTTTTTTATTTGAGTTTACATGGCTTACCCTTTTTTGCTTAAATGTGTAATTATGATCTATTTTTGTCGATGGTAGACTGTTGTGCTTTGAAAAAGCAAATGCTGGACGACAGAAAATTTCCCAAAATGCATCTCAACTTACAACGCCTGCTTCAGGTAACCCCAAACATCAGAACAAAGCGAAATCATGCTCTCCATGGAAAGTCTCAAATCAAACCTCTTGTTGAATGGGTGGACAGTCTATGCATTTTTTTTTTGTAATTTAGTTTTTGTTTTTCATTTACTGTCTATTTTTTATAATTTTTATATTTTTTTTCATCTTTCATGTTATTTTCTTAGTTATTTCACAGTTACTACTTCCTATGATTTTTTCTGTAATTTTTTCTATTTATCTTAATTTTATCTGTTTTATAATTTCTCTTTTTTGTAGTTTTGTGTTTTAATAAATTGAAAAAAAAATAATAAATTGGGTTGGGTCAATGTGGATTTGGGTCAAACCCAACCCATTTAATTAGAACTAAATGGGTCATTAATAGATTGGCGGGTTAGACGGATTAGGTTGAAACTCAATCCAAACCCAACCCACCCAATTGTCACCCTTATTCATTCATGAGAGATGTTCCCCGATGAACTACTGGATGCTGTGTGCTTTTTGTGTGCTGGCGATCTAGACTCCCATTGGAGCAACTCCTAGGTTCTTTAACTCCATTATTTCTAATTTTACCACTCATCAATCTAAGCCCCAAGCCCTGACATTTCTATCGCTATAAATTCAAAATCACTTTTTTCTAATTGAGTTTTGTCTAGATTAATTAAGGCTGATTTCAATACAAAATATGAAATCAAGCATGGTGTGGTAGGGGTGAGCAAAAAAATCGAATTGACTGAAAAAAATCGATGAAACCAAATCAAAAAATTGGTTAATCGAATTGCTCGATTCAGTTTTGGTTTGATGTTTTTAAAAAACCAAAAGTACCGGTTCGATTTCAGTTGATCAATATAGAAAACCGGCGATTAACCAAACTGACCGGTATACATATATTTCTATATATTTATGTATATTATATATATTTTTTATATTTTTATATATTATAAATTAATAAATATGTATTATATATAAATATATTTATAATATATTATTTATTATTTAAAACATAATATTTTATATATGTTTATAATTTTTTATTGTATATTTTTATATATATTATAAAAATTAAAAAACTGAAAAACCAATAAATCAAACCAACACTTAACCAAACCAGTCAACCGGTTAATCGACTGAATTCAGTTCGGTTCCGATTATCGGTTTTTGGAAAACCGATAATACCGACTCGGTTAAAAAAATGCCCCACGAACCGTGAGCACGCCAAGTGTGGATGTCCTCTATTTGGGTTCAAACTATAATTCGGTTATAATTTGTTATGATTCAGGTCATCGCACATGGGGAACAAGTATTTCCTCGTCTTAAAGAAAAATGTTCTACAAAAAATTGGTTTTCCATTGAGGACATTGTTTCCCTGGAAGAGCTAGTTGGACGTCTCAGACGGCTCAAAGAGAATGTTGGGTTCATAGTAAATCGTGTCACAGCAATACAGGCCAGTCTGGACAGTTGGCAGTCTGAGCAAATAAATAAAAAGCTTTATATTATTTCCGTACTTTCAATAGTATTCCTTCCTTTGTCGATCATTACTGGAGGTACGTACATGCCCTTCTTTATCTTCTCTAACTGTTCCTGATTAGTTTGAGAAGCTCAGAACCATCTAACATCAACCGGTTGCTCTGAACAGTGTTTGGGATGAATGTGGGAGGAGTTCCATGGACAGGACAAATAGATCCTACCATAAAAGATGGGTTCCGAAATGTTATGATGCTCTGTGGCTTTATGATATTTGTTCCTCTATTTATATTTAGTTTACCATCTCTCTATGACCACTTATATGCTTGGAAGAGACGGATGAAGAGGAGGAGCTGGTCTTTTAATAGGGACTCAATCTTGAAAAGAACTATTGGTAGCAGGTTTCAGGAAAGAAGGGGCTATTTCCGCCTTAGATAATCCTGGACAACCTTTATTGTAAGTGCCCTCTTTCTTTCTTTTCTTTCTGCATCTTTTGGCTTCAAATAATTTGTAACAAGGTTTTAAATATCAATATAGGCCAATATGCTGGATGGGATGTTATAATTTTTTTCAAGCCTGTTCAAGAGGAGTTGTATATAGTTCAAATCTGTGCCCCACAGTACATCTTCGCGGTGTATTGGAAATACCTCCAGATGATGATATCATTATTTTTAGTACATCATCGGAAGATGTTTTCAATACACGGTAAAATATGCTGTGGGACATTGTGGGGCGCAGATGTGAACTCAGTTGTATAAGTTCTATGCCTGTCTATTCTATGAAACAGGTGAAACCCCAAAACACTTACTGTAGGGATGTATTGGAACGTCATTAATTGATACGATATATATCATCGTCCAATATGCTTTGATACATTGTGAAATTTTAATCTTTGACTTATAGCTTGTCTTTATAAACAGTTACTTAACTATGAACTGTCCCAGGGGAACACCTTTGTCCAGCCATTTCTTATGGAACTTCTATGCCCTCAAGTCTTTCAAGATACCTGGGACCTTACTTCACATTCAATACATCTTACTCGTACAAATAAGCTGGTAGTATATATACTGAGAATGAGATTTGCCCATTCCTCTTGGATATGGAAGGCAGTTTTCAGTTGTACAGTGTATTCATCCATTGAAGTCTTTATTTATGTATTTTTCTTTGGTATTTGTAAAGGTCATTCAGTTTTGGGTTTCTACCGTGCTCATTCTAAACTTGTACAGTAAATTTAAATCAATGTTTAATAGCCTTCAATGGCCTTAGCCAGCTTTTACACCTTTTACTTCATGTGTTTCTGCTTTATGGGACCGTAGGGTGTCAATGGACTGCTTTTGGATCGGTCCCCATCCAAATCAAAATCAATTTTGATAGATTGGACAGACCAAAAAGACATATTTGATCAATATAGAATTAATGGTCCAAAATATTTATTGATTGGATTGAACCTGATTCATCTATAATAAATTTATATTGAGCTGAGTCGATATCTAGACCATTGAAAGAAGATAAAATATAGGTGATGGTGTACGATCTGGACACTCCTAGCTGGATGGCAGTTCGGACATCGGTTTGTTTAGTTGGCCGATCAAACTGCAAGGAAAGTATGCTTCAGAGAACCCGAGGTAGCTTACCCGGTGTGGGCACTCGGATGCCTAAGTTAGCAACTATTGTTCACGAGCTGAAGAGCTTTGTAAACAACCCCGGGTAACAGTTGCTAACTTAGGCATCGGAGTGCCCACACCGGATAAACCACCCCAAGTTCTTTGAAACATACTTTCCTTGCAGTTCGACCAACCAATTAAGCAGATCAACATCCGAGTACATAATTATAACCCAAATTTATGCAAATTTAGTTAAATCCTAAAACCTTTCTTCAATTTAAAAGGGGCAACCCAGTTCACGAGGCTGGGAGGGACAGATGTACGCAGCTTACAATTCAATTACCGCAGAAGCCCTCCCAAACGGGTTCTTAAGTAGTCCTACCGAATGCTCAGCATCTTGCCCAGCTGGCCCTAGAGGCATGACAAATCAGCCCATTTAGCATGCAAAGTGGGCTAATGGGTTTGGACTAGATATAGGCTTGCAGATTGCGTGCTGGCGTATTAGGCTTAGGCGGCCTAATATAGTTATGGGCCTACTGTGTAGAAAATTTGTTAAAGATGGCCCATTTGTATGCGTGGCTTTGTGGATTCAAGTGATTTTTTTTTTTATTTTTTTTTTTGGGGGCGGGGGGTTTAGAAAAAATTGAATTCACTAATGTCAGGGAGTGATCCAAATTTCAAACCAGTTAATCCACACAGTGGATCTGCAAAAGAGTTAAGAAGAAACATGATAACCCTATTTTTTTCCCTCGAACCAGAAAGTGACGCATTAATTTGAGCCATGAATTGAAAAGGCTTATGAAAATATCAAACGAAACATCTCCCAGGAAAAAAAAAAAAAAAGAGAGAGAAAAAGAAAATGACTGGAGGATATTCATTTGATCATTTCTGTAGAAGTCGCCATGTGGTTAAGATTTGGGGAGTAATGGATAGGGCACGGGTGGTTGGTTTTGGGATGGCGTTCCTAGACGTGGCACAAGCACAACTTGGCCTCAATCTACTTCTGCCTCATATCCACCTCATTAAGTGAACAAATTTTACAGAATTTAATTATTTCTCAATTTCTGTTATTATATATTATTCGTTTTATTATATTTTACAGTTACAATATTCCAAAATTTCGGTGGGAATAAAAGACCGATATCAGAAAAGAAATGTAACCAAGTTTCACCGACATTTCGTTCCTACATCACATGGTAAATGTATGTAATCCCATTCGTGTCAGTCTTATTAATTAGCAGTGCGCACGTGCATTGCACTCGCGTATTGATTAAATGTATGTAATCCCTTTTTTTTATTTGTTTTCCCACGTTGAAGGACCAAATGGTGTTAGAGTTGGTGAAGAAGTCTTCTACAGATACTCCTAAAGCGGTTGTTTGCATGTTAATGAGCCATGTAACCGTCAGTGTGCTTTTCTCAACCGTCTATATTGTGGGTCCTCGTTCTTGTTGTTATGTGTTGATGAATAAACAATTATAGATCCTCTCTTCAGCAAACTTGACCGTAGGATCACTGATCACAATGTCAAATTGTGGGCCAGTTGGTTGGTAAACGAAAGAAATGCCACGAGGACAATTTTGGAATTACGAGATTTTGGTGAACAAAAACTCCCTGTCTTCGTTTTTTTTTTTCTGATTTTCTGTGATCGAAGTTCGTATTTTAGGGTTGTCGATTAAAAATTTTGTATCTTTTTGCAGTTATTCTCTTGATCAGCGAATAGATTCTCGGTTTTGTATATCGATTTCCTAAATCGGGTTTATTTTTAACTGCCACCAACCCACCCACCTTTTTAACGAAAGAAGAACTCAGAGAGTCAGAAACTCTGGGTGGTGAAAATAAGGACAAAACTTTGAAAATGTTAATTAATTATTATTTTTTTTTATCACCAACCCCGAGCCAATGACCAATAATACCAAAACCTGAAAAGAGAGGAAGATACTAAGCACACTGCACACATACACGAGAGAGAGAGAGAGAGAGTAGGAGATGGCGATGGCAATGGCGCTTCGCAGGCTATCCTCGTCCGTGAGGAAGCCGATTCTTCCTCTCTCTAATGGTGGCTCTCTATATTACATGGTATGCTTTTGTTTTCCTTCAATTTCAAAATAACATTTGGTTCTTTACCGACAACCAGAGATTTGAAGTTCATGCTTTCCTTATATTTCATTTCATTTTTCCTGTTTAGTCTTCTTTGCCGAATGAAGCCGTTTACGATAAGGAGAAATCTGGTGTTACGGTAAGCAAATTTCTCTCTTTCTTTCTTCCTTTTCTGTGCTTAATTTGATTCAGTTTTCGATTTACTACCGTTATTTTCTTCCCGTGTATGGTCTTTGTTTCTCTGGGATTCGCCCTTAGATCTTCTGCACACAGTTTTTTTTGTCTCACTTTCGATTTTAACTCTTACTTGGGAAATTTGGTTCCAGTGGCCAAAGCAGTTGAATGCTCCGCTCGAGGAGGTCGATCCGGACATTGCAAATATCATCGAGCTCGAGAAAGCAAGACAATGGAAGGTGCTTTCCAACATTTATTGTCCTTTGTTATGGATTGAAAATTAAGGTTTCAATGTTTTGATGCCACGTAGGTGTGGACTGTTCAGTTAGACAATTAGATGAATTTTGGAAACTTTCAGATTCTGGTCGGATGTGATTTTCTTTGACAGCATAGTAGTTTTAATTAGTTGTAAATTACATGTCAAGGATCTTAATTTTGAGCATTCAGCTTTCTCTGCTCCTGTCCGGATCTCTATCTGTGATGAACCTTAATTTGAAATTTAGTATATAATGTGAATTTCTTGGCGGTGTTCTTTTTTCTTGTGTTTGAAAAGGGACTGGAACTCATACCTTCGGAGAACTTCACGTCTGTATCTGTGATGCAAGCTGTTGGGTCTATCATGACTAATAAATACAGTGAAGGATATCCCGGTGCTAGATATTATGGAGGAAACGAGTAAGTAAATCCCCCTTCCCAATTTACCTCTATTGTCCATTTATGGTCTATCCTTTATTTTCAGATTTCCTGGTTGGATCTGATATCAAACTGTGTAAACTGCACCCTCCAGGTACATTGACATGGCAGAATCCTTATGCCAGAAGCGTGCCTTGGAAGCATTTGGGTTGGATCCTGCGAAATGGGGAGGTAAATGTGTATGATATTTGGAGCTCATAAGATAAAATAATTCAGTAATATTGTGCTGCTTGAAGCCTTTGTTTCAGTGTCTACAATAGGCCAACTAGTTCTCTATTTATAGTTTATGTTATTTTTGAACTAACCTCCTTTGTGGAATGCTTAGCTTACTTTATTTCCTGCAGTTAATGTGCAATCACTATCTGGGTCCCCTGCTAATTTCCAAGTATACACTGCATTGTTGAAACCTCATGAAAGAATCATGGCACTTGATCTTCCACATGGTGGACATCTTTCGCATGGCTATCAGGTGCTTATAACATTCCATTTTTCCCAGCTAAATTGGAAATATTAGTTTGCCCCTAGAGATTAGTGCAAATAATATTGTCTAGTAGGGCTGTTCATAAGAATGCCCAACCCGACCAAACCGACCAACCCGGACCGACCCAACCCAAGTCGGCTGGGTTTTCATCCGTACCGGTCGGTTTCGGGTTGGGCACATACATAAACCGAAATCTCGGGTTGGTTTTGGTTTTCTTGCGTGAAAACCGAAATCAA